TAAACATAGATTTGTCAAAATTTCTAAATTCCAGTTTTTGCTTTGTCATTATGGGGTATTTTGTGTAGATTGATGAGGGGAAAAAACAATTTAATCAATTTTAGAATAAGGCTGTAACCTAACAAAATGTGGAAAAAGTCAAGGGGTCTGAATAGTTTCCAAAGGCTATGTTGGTCATTTAAGTGGAGATTGTAAGTTACAGTCACGAGTCACGACCCAAATTATTGTTATCCTTGATAAAGATGAGCAAAAAAGACTCTATAAAATAAATAATACAAATACTGAGCTATATTGTATGCTCAAACAAATGTAAAAGTATATAATTTGATACCCATGTCACCCCGCTTCTCCGCGCATTCCACTGGCTTCCAGTCAAAGCTCGCATTCATTACAAGACCATGGTCCTTGCCTACGTGGCAGCAAGGGGAACTGCCCCTCCCTACCGTCAGGATATGCTCAAACCCTACACCTGAACCCGAGCACTCCGTTCTGCCACCTCTGGTCTCTGGGCAGTCCCACCCGTACGGGGGGTCAGCTTCTTGTCAGCCCAGTCAAAGCTCTTCTCTGTCCTGGCACTCCAATGGTGGAACAAGATTCCCCCTGAAGCTAGGACAGAAGAGTCCCTGCCCATCTTCCGAAAACAACTGAAACCCTACCTACCTTATCCCCCCCATAAAGAAATTGTGCACTTGACTTTTCGTACTAGCACTGACTTTGCTGATAACTTCTGTATTGAGGAAAAATGTACTTACGACTGTGATATGTGGTTGTCTCACCTAGCTATCTTAAGATGAACACACTTACTGTAAGTCGCTTTGGATAAAAGCGCATGCTGCATGACTAAAATGTAAATGTGAAATGTATACTAATACTATTTTTGCCCACAACCTGGTTGCCTCTGCCAGGAGGCTGAAACATGTCTGAAAGTGAATATTCCAGTAAGAAAATAACCACAAGCACACATCAAATCCCCCCCCTCAAAAAATGGACCACGAAATAATATAAAAACATTTACGCTCCAAATCTCAAACTGCCACTCATGATGCGTAAAGGCATTCCACCCTCCTTGGTCCTTTCACCTGTCTGTCTGTCTGTGTGTCTGTCTGTCTGTCTGTCACACCTCAGAGGTGTATATGTGACGCTCTGAGGGCCGCTGTGACATGAGCCGCAAAAGTACACCCAGAGCCTTTCCTCCCCATCCTCTCCTGCCTTTACTCTCCTTTCTGTGAAGGGCTTTCCTGTCTTTCCAGGCAGTTTCCATCCTGTCTGCAAACAGTGCTTTTAAGCACCAGCTGGGGAGCATAAAAAAATGCCGCTCCCCAAAGCCCAGTGCAATTGCTCCGGGTTTTGTCTACTCATCCGCTGCTCTGAGAATGGAGTTTGGAATGGAGGGAGAGAGGAGGGAGGGGGAGGGGGAGGAAGATGAGTTGTGAATACTCCACATGCTACGACTGAAATAGGACAGGCAGTTCTATACACAACTCACTGTAGACTAGTGTTTCTGAAGGAAATATGTGATACTGAATGTTACAACTGTAACAGATGTGACCTCAACAGAGAGGGAGTAAGACTGGATTGTGGTGCTGAGAATTTCCTCTAAATGTGTGACGTATTGAGGGAATTTAGGTCACAAAATATTTTATTTTCACAGTGTGCGAAGTTCATTAAATGTGTAAATTGTAAATTCAAACACTAGCTTTGGCAAAATGTAGTGATGTGTTTTAGAAATACCTCTAACCTTGCATGCAGTACACCAGGTTTTGAGCTCAGAAACAGCCCTGCTTTACTTTTGAAAACATTGAGTGTTTCATAGTGTTCAATTATTAGGATATACAGTAGCCTAAATAAGAGGAAATGTATCTGTCAATCAATTTACATGACATTTAGGTGAGAGAATATTAATTTCCCCTCTCATATCACAACACTGTTACAGCTAGAGCCAGGACATCAGACTCAAAAACCTCCTGACCGCCACGCCATTAATCACACTGTTACACTTGGCTTTTGAGTAATTACCCTCTGTGAGATACTGCTTCACACACACACACACATATAGTATGACCGTACACACACCCACACCCACACGTTTAGGCACACACACACAACACATACACACACACACACACACATATAGTATGATCGTACACACACCCACACCCACATGTTCAGACACACACACACACACACACACAACATGTACACACACACACTGTATGACCACACAAACACACATATACACACACACACACACATATACAGTATATCATCACACTTTATGCACATACATTACTTATGCAGCACACATTCATACTTCCACACTAGCACATACAGTAGAGAATACATTTGCATACACATTTGTATCAGACAAATACTCACATACTGTTCTTTACACATACGTGACTCGTTTCAGGAAACTAGGCGTATGTCATACGTCACTACTTCAGAGGAGCGCCATTTGAACGTAAACCTTTTTTTAAATCAAAATGCGTTTTTTTGCCGAAATACCTTCTGGAACATGTGAACTTACATGTGCCTTTATAACAAACTTGTTTGCCATCTGTAAATAAATTAAGAGCCTAGTTGGTTTATCCATGGAACAAGACAGCAACCTTCCCGCTAGCCATGATTGGCTGAGATAATGAGTGGGCTGGACATGCCGAGAGATTAGTTTGGATTGGTCTGCCATGTAGCACGCTTCTGTCCATAACATGAGCTGGTCAGTATGTGTAGGTAATCCTTTCTAACAAGTCTTTTTTTTAAGATATCACGTAGTAGAACTACATAAGTGTTGCTCTCCACTTTCTGGAGGACCGAGTTTTGAAATCAGTGGAATTAGAGTATGATAGCTAAGGAGATGGAGAAAATTCTGGCATTTGATTGCGAATATGCAGATGGGGTCGAAAAGAGAACACACAGAAGGCTGTTGGATAAAACACCTGGCTCCGGATTACGTCTTCAAACTAAGGGCAACCATGGCATCCGTGACAGAGAGGAAGAAGCGTCCATCCATGTATATGGGTAAGATAGTCTAGCTAGCTACATTTTCAGATATTACACGTTTCAAATTTAGTCAGAAAGTCGTTTTCATTTCAAGTTAAAGTGTACTGTTAGCTAGCTAGCTAACGTTAGCTGGCTGGCTAGCTAGCTAACATTACGTGTATGATCTGTGTAGTAATATTATTCGTATCTCAGAGCCATTTGTATTGCTAGTTATAGCCTAATGTTAGCTAGCTAACATTGAACCTGACTGGTTAGCTACCTGCAGATTCATGCAGGGTAGTAACGTTATGAGTTGGGATTATGGTTCATTGTTTAGCTATCTAGCTACATCTCTAAACAAAAGACTCCACTATGCAAGTAACTATTTCAATAGAATTTTGATGATGTCACTGTGACAACTGTCGATAGACATAGCTGGTAAATTTGCTCTGGCTATCTACTCCGATTTCAGAGCACTCTCGTCTGAGTGTGTAAGAGAATAACTGAAGAATTTACGAATGCTCAACACCCGTTGAATATGGCCGGTGTTGGCAAAAAAACATAATTAAATTGTTGCCAGCAACACAGTTGCAGTCACCAACACTCTGGATAACATAACTACAGCCTAACCAGCTCTGCTAGGGCAAGTAAAGTGGTCAGAGTGAGCTGTTCTCTCATTTGTGTCTGGAAGTAGCTAGCCAATGTTAGCCAGTTAGCTTGGGTGCTTGACTGCTGTTGTTAGGTCAGAATGCTCGGCTCAACCCTACTCCTCGGCCAGAGCGTCCAGTGTGCGCTCTGAATGCTCCGAGACGGAAACGCTCAGAATTTACGAACGGACAATCTGACAATGCTCTGAGTTTACGAACGCCCAGAGCACACTCTGGCACTCCACTCCATTAAATGTATGAACACATCCGTAGTATAAACCAGCCTTTAGTCTTGAAATCTTTGGTTGTTTAGTACATAGCCTCACATGTGAATCCTTAAAGGAATGGGTGGGGCTAAAGCTTAAGACGGTGTGGACGATGCTGAATGGGTGTAGAAAAAGAAGAGCTCTCCAGTAGGTACCAAAACATTCAAGGGCCATTTTCTCAAAAGGGAGGTTACAAGTTTATCAACTTTCTAAGCAGAATTACTTTCCCATTGTTCCTCAACTGTAGTGTATGATATACCATTTTCTAGCTCTGAGTCTCTACTTTTATCCAATGTAAAAAACACAATTTCAAATTTTGCTACATAATACTGAATCGAGCCGGTCGGTCACATATGCACTTCCTCACACACACATACTCCCACATGCAGGGAATTTTAAGGGTACACCGTGCAATAGAGGGCTGTGTTTAGGAGGTGTTGGACAAGTAACAGAGCCCTCCTGATCGGGGAGGGAGTCAGTCTGTCTGGGGCTGATGAAATCCTCCACTTGTTCTCATTCATCAAGCCCACAACACATATTCATTATCCCACACCTTCAGCCTAACAGCAGAGGACAGACGCTCACCCCAACTCCCTGCTCCCTGCTCCCATAGAACACAGGCCCTCACATCCCACTTCACTCGCAGACTAGGCTAATGTACACTTTAAATACAGCTGCAGTAGTACTATATTGATCTAAGGCCTTGGGACTCTCTGCTGTCCTAATATGGACAACATACAGAGTACTCCAACGCTGTGATGTTTGTGTAGTGAGTCCAACTGTCCACCAGGTATTGCTACCATATTATGACAAGCTGTCTTGGAAGACATTCACTCCCTCTCTCTGGAAGCTGTTGCATTTCTTTCTCAAGGCTATTCCCCTGGGCTTGTCCTTCCTTAATTGGGATAATTAGTTTGAGTTTAGCCATAATGTTTTTAAGCTATTCCATATTACAGTGAGACAGAGCGCATCGTCATGTGCATCCATCTAGCGAAAGCTCTTTAAAGCAAATTACAAGATGGAAGTCCTCTAAATGACCGTGTTTGGTCTTCAATGGTCGGGTGGCGACGAGTAACCCCCCTCTCTCTGAAACCCCCCTCCCTCCCAATCAGCCCATTCCCATGTCTCCCCGGTTTGTCCTGACACCAGTCAGACGCAGAGCATCGACTCTCTGGGGGGAAAAGATTGGTCAATTATCACGGCTAAAAGTTAAAAGTGCCATTATCTGAGTGGTGGCGGCCATACGTTCATCCAATTAATGAGGGCTTTGCAGCAGTGACAAGGACCAGACAGAGAGGGACCACTCCTCCCTGCCTAGATCGAACAGAAGAACAGAAGGAATAGTCAAAGATCTGTGGAGTCGGAGGCAGCCCGGCGACTTAGACACTTAATTGATCTTCATTACCTTAATTATGGCTGTAATGTCGAGCTGACAGCTGAAAAACGGGTCACACTGTTGAATGAAAAAACGGGTCACACTGTTGAATGTCAGAAAGTACCCTTTTAAGTAATCTGCTGACCTTGAAACTAGTAGTGAAACTGCACGCTGTGCCAAAGTGAGTCTGAGTGAGTGAGGTTTATGTGTGTGTGTGTGTGTTAATCTCAATTAATCAAAAAGTTCCCGACTACTTTCCTCGTCAAACTCGAAAACTCAACCATACACTCATCCGACCTGACCCCAGATCTAATTTTGAGTGTAAGTGTACGTGATCCGATCATCCTGTCCCCGCCAGCACCCAGATCGCTGCACAGCCAGTGTGCTTCCCTCTGCCCTTGTGTTTGAATAAACAACCTCTGAGATGGCCGCGTCTGTATAATATGTGTCATAAAGCTGCCACCCTGTTCTCTCTTTGTCCTGACCCCCGTTCCTCAGGGAGGGAGTAATGGGGACGTTGTGGTGACAATGTGTATCCCTGTCGGTCAGTCGGGTGACATGCCTGGTGCCCTTGTCCTGCTCCGCTCACTCCTCAAGATGCTTGTCCTCATGCTCCCGCTGCCCTGTACATGTAAATGAGCCAATATGCATTGTTGCAGGATCCCATGCTCTTAGCAAGGCTAAGTGTATGCATAACCTCAGCACTGACTGTCATCTGGGACTGTAATAAACATATTTATGTTTTTCATGTGACATTCTCTTACAGTATGTAATATTTGTTCAGAGGGATTTTAGCATAAACTTGAAGATGCTCCTTAAGTGGTCAAAAAATGAAGCACTCTTACTCAAAACATATCTACCCCCAACTTCACGCCATAGTCTTTAGCATGTAGTGCAGTAGTAACATAGTGATAGTAGCAACCCTTTGTGAGAAAAAAACAAATTACATCATGTATCTAAACAAAGGGGAATTTGTCATGAATTAAAACCTCTTAGATGTTAAGTCCCCTATACAGAATACGGGACTTTGAGCAGTTCTGGACCAGTTCCGACCGATAATTCTGTTTAATTCTGTTTACGTGCTCTGTAAATGGTGCAACATCAATTGCCTTACACTCCCCTAAAAGCACTGGTTGTTCTGATTCATATGTGCTATTGCAAGCTCAGCTGTGAGTTTCACAGACACAGGAAATTGATTATTTGCATAGGGAGCGACACGTCAAATTTTCTGGCCTGTGAAACTCACAACTGCGCTTGCAATAGTGTATATTTCATATAGCGGATGCAACAATAGTACTGTGATGTTCTCAGATGGATTTATAGCTGTCAACAGGGAAAAATACAAAATAATATAATTAACTTTAATCAAGACCACTTTCTCTTGGCTTACAGCTGAAGTTGTAACGCAGCCAGTGTGGCTCAGCATAAGACCATGTAGAACCTGTGTCAAACTCATTCCATGGAGGGCCTAGTGTCTGCCGGTTTTCACTCCTCCCTTGTAATTGATTGATGAATTAAAGTCACTAATTAGTAAAGAACTCCCCTCACCTTGTTGTCTAGGTCTTAATTGAAAGGAAAAACCAAAAACCCTCAGACACTAAGCCCTCCATGGAATGAGTTTGACACCCCTGTTGTAACGAGTCTGCACACATTTGAATGGTGTCTCAGCACCGCTCAGAGGATGATTGGAAGAAAAGTCTCTGTCGTCAGTTATATGAAATGGTACCAATATTGTACGTCACTAAGTATGATCATATTTATTTTACAGTTATAAGAAAGGTTACATTTTAAAGTAAGATGTTTATAATTTGATTGTTACTAAGCATTTCAATCATTTGAAGCCCTATTGCACCACTTTGGTTGAATAGGAAAAAAATAATGTAATATTTTTCATATTTTTATATTTTCATAATACTTCTACTGCGCTTGTGTACTCAAAGGTGTACACAAGACCTCAGCAATCTATGAAAATAAAACAAAAGTTGAGTTCCAGACCTTTCTAAAACTATGCAGCATTACCAGTTATTGTTTACGACCATCTCAACAAAAAAAAATTACTTTTGGATATGTCTATTTATGCAGAAATCTACATTTCCCCCTATCATTCAAGATGTATTAAACTGAATGTAATTAGGTCTTGCTGTGTGGGCAAGTGAGGGATAATGTGATTTGAATTATAATGGGATGTACATTGATATAATAGCCTTTTATCATATTAGTTTCTCAATCAATCAATTGGCTGAAACTGAGATGCAAATGTAATTCATTTGGAAATGAACCTTGTGCTTCGCAGTACAATTAATGTCACCTTAACAAGCCTCTACCTCATATATTGAAACCAATAGATGGATTTGATTCACTTATAACTTAAAGCTGATGTTAACTTTAGAGTGTGTGTGTGTGTGTGTGTGTGTGTGTGTGTGTGTGTGTGTGTGTGTGTGTGTGTGTGTGTATGTGTGTGTGTGTGTGTGTGTGTGTGTGTGTGTGTGTGTGTGGACGTGTTTAACTATACTTGTGAGGACCAGAAGTCCCCACAAGAATAGTAAACAAATTACATATTGACCAACTGGTGGCATTTTGTTAGTCCCTACAAGGTCAAATGCTATTTCTAGAGGTTTATGGTTAAGGTTAGAATTAGTGTTAGGGTTAGAATTAGGTTTAGGGTTAGCGTTAGGACCTAGGGTTAGTTTTAGGGCTAGGGTTAGGAGCTAGGGTTATGTTTAGGGTTAGGGTTAAGGTTAGGTTTTGGGGTTAAGGTTAGGGTTAAGGTTACGTTAGGGAAAATAAGATTTTGAATGGGACTGAATTGTGTGTCCCCACACGGTTAGTTATGCAGGACTGTGTGTGTGTGTGTGTACATGCATGTATGTGTGTATGTGCGTTTGTGTGTGTGTTGCTTACGTGCGTGTATGCATCTGCCGGTGTGTATGTGGGCGTGCATGTGTGTGTGTTTGTCTGTTTGTGTATGCGTGCCTCCTTATGTCTGTGCGCATGTGTGTGTGGGGTGCATCATGCCTCCTCAGAGCAAGCAGAGCTGTAATTAAAAATGTTTCCCTCACGTCAATATCTAGTTTCTGCTCACTCAGAGGAGGCACATATTGTTATAAAATAACTCAAGATAATGTGTCTGTGTATTCCCAGCCTAGGCATTCTAACACCCAAGCCTAATCCCTCCAATAACGTTCGAGGACAAGGGCTATAATTCACCACCCAGATTCATAAACACGCACTCTGGAGGCTAGACTTTGGAGCGAGAGAGAGAGAGAGAGCCAATATGACAACTAAACATTTGTACTAGTACAGCATGATACTGTAGGTGACAAAAAAAATTGCCTCAGTGGTAAAGATATATTGAGCATCACCACCATTGGGACAAGACCGGTCTAAAACAAATGGTTGAGCCTTGTATTATCAGTTGCACTGTATATGAGGGAACACACAGTACCTTAGTTTTGTCATACAGGGCATGGTTGTCAAGAAGCATCTGCCTCTCCTTTCGGGCAAATGTCCTCAGATCTCTCCCAAACTGCTGTGGAAGAACAGAATTGATAATCATATCTCTTGTTATCCTTTTTTATTTCATTTATCCCCCTTTCCTCCACCCTCCTGCCACCTTACAACCCTTGTTGTATTCCCCAACAGTAACTCTGCTGAAAACAAAAAATGCATAGACCAGCCTTCATTGTGTTTTCGCTGGTGACCAGCCTTCGTTGTAAATTCACAGGTGACCAGCCTTCGTTTTGTTTTATCTAGTGACCAGCCTTCGTTGCGTTTACACTGGTGACCAGCCTTCGTTGCGTTTACGCTGGTGACCAGCCTTCGCTGTATTTTTGCTGGTGACCAGCCTTCACTGTGTTTTTGCTGGTGACCAGCCTTCACTGTGTTTTTGCTGGCGACCAGCCTTCGTTGTGTTTTGGACACAGCTGACCAACTTAGTTACCCGCAAAAACAGCATCAAATCACATTATGCTATCTTGCAAAGTGATATCTAATTCCTATTGGAATCCAGCCTGAGTGGGTACATCCAACAATTCGGATATCGCCACTCTGTTGAGGGCAGCCCACACTTTGCCTGAAATAAGCCCATCTTTTCGCAGCAAACATGCAGGCTAAAATGTACAGTATCTGCATGTTCAGCCCCAGGGACGGCCTGTTCAATAGGGCGATATGGGCGACGCACTGCCAAACGGGAAAAGGAAGGGATTTTTTTTCTAATCAATTATATCACGGCAACAGTAGTTATCAGTGTTCACGTCTGATCTGCCAGCCACTAAATGTCAAATCAGGCTAAAGTCGTGCTTCAAATGGCCCCGCCCGTTTTTGGGGCGATTTCAGTCAGGTTGAAAATCGCCCAGAAGTCTCTCATAGCCTGTCATGTAAAATCTATTTTTTTCAAATTTCAAAGCTTTCAATACATTCTCTATGGGTGTCTGTGGGCTTGCACTTACGCGCTTTCGTCATACGTGACGTAACCATGAACGTAACTAAGACAATAGCGGCTAGCAGCGTCTCTGTTGCGACCAGCAGTGTGGCGTTATTTTATGTTTTTAATTTGTAGACTTAGTTTACAAACATTCTGCCAACCATGGATTTCCAGTGGTGGATTTTGGACTGATCTTGTTGATCGTGTACATACCCGCTACGAACGGACTAAATAATGAAAACGCTGCTGGCAGCGGAATCCAATACAGCTGGGAGACTTGGCTGGATGACAGAGTCCCGGACAGAGAAGTGGAGCCGGCCGGCTTCACCCTGGTCAGAGCGGACCGCGATCCTGGTAAGAGAGCGACTCTGTACCCCGACATTGAACTGCTTTCTGTGTCATTGCGACCTTACTATCTGCCCCGTGAGTTCCCCCAATTGTTTGTTACCGTTGTGTACTGTTGATAATCACAAGTTTACTGGAGAACTGAGACCAAGTAGAGACTTTGGACAGGGTGGATATGGTATAATAAAGGCAGTTTATTCAGAGGTAAAGATATCTGGAATCGCGTGCACGGACTCGTTCGTCAAACTCTTAGGGAGAAGAGAGCCCCGAAAACATTGTGTGCAGACATTTTATACAATAAATGATGTAGGTTGAATCTAGTAGTTCTGATCTTCTGATTGGTCCTGATGAGTTGGGCGAGGTCCCCTCCACTGTTGCATTGGCTCTGAGTCGGGTTCTCTGTCTTCAAATGTTCAGCCTAAAGAGAGGGGATTTTTGTGTGTGTGTGTGTGTGTGTTTAACAGTGATGATGTGTGTGTGTGTGTGTGTGTTATCAGTGATGATGTGTGTGTGTGTGTGTGTGTGTGTGTGTCCTCAGAGCAAGAACTCGTGAGTTGGAAGAACTGAGAGACCTATGGCGTGGGTGTTGTCCTTGGCCACCTGCTGACAAGGCTGACAAGATAGGACTCTTTTGTCCATTGTTATAGGATAGGAACAGCATTGATTGAAAACAAACGCCCAACACAAAATGGGTCATGCACAAGATTTTAGTCAGACCAAGCTATAACATTATATATTTACTACGACAGTACATTCAACCAAAAGCTAATATAACAAAGGCATCAGAGATTATTTATAATCTGTCACAGAAACTGGAATCCATCTCCCCAGATCAGTCAATAAATGCTTCTGGTATTGACTTATATGCTGCCCCTGTCTTCATGTTGTTGCTGGACATATCTTTTTTAAAATGTGTGTAGGTCACCTAAATCATCAGAAAAATTGCCCCTCCTGAGAATTTTTTCAGGAGCCGCCACTGTTCAGCCCTTATATTTAGCCTCACAATGATGTGTTTTACCATTTTCTTTTCTGGACGTCCAGGGCTACAAGTAGAACACAACACAATTTGACATGAACAGTTGCATTCATGAGTTTTATTGACAAATGTCAATAAAACAAATAAGGTCTGCCAAAGCAAAAACCTGATAAAAATGAATTTATATGAATGCTGTAAGTACAGAAATTGTTTGGTCAGAGGGACATTAATAGCCAACTAATCAGTGACAACTGTGTGGAGTTTGGAGTTTGTGACAGCAACTTATTACAGTATTATAGACACAATGTCCTGGTATTTCCTATGATTTTCTATGTAGAAGAACCCCTTACCTTCTAACTACTCTTTTGTAGCTTTTTTTGTAAAAAGATCTGCCCTTGTCATCACTAACACTGCTCCTGTAAGTCACTCTGGATAAGAGTGTCTGCTAAATGACTAAAATGTAAATGAAATTAAACATCACTTTGCAAGCCAGCATGATGTGACTTGATGCTGGTTTTGCTTTGGCTTATGCTGGTCACCAGTGTCCAAAACACAGCGAAGGTTGGTCACCGGCAAAAATACAACGAAGGCTGGTTACCAGCGAAAACACAATGAAGGCTGGTCTCCAGCAAAAACATAACAAAGGCCAGTCACCAGCGAAAACACAATGAAGGCCAGCTTGGCAAGCTAGCTTTCCTGTTAGTGTTTAGCTATTCATTTCTCATCATCAATGTTTTATTTTTGGTTATTGAGTGCTCTGTCAAGCGCTATCATCATGTGAATTGGATCATTTGTTTTTTGCAGATTAAATGTTTCCTAATTCAAACTCAGCTGCCTTTAGAACAAGATTGAATAAGGATTTTAGTCAATGTATCTTTGTTTGTCTTGGCATCCACATTCATTTCACAATAATTTGATCCATGCCTACCTTGGAGCCGGTCCAGCCCAGGAGGGCAAAGGCGTAGCGGTCAACAGGTGGGGCCACCAGGTCCACCCGTACGGCCCTCCAGCCCCTGCTGTCCCCTGGGTCCCTCTGCAGCCCTCTCTCCCCCTCCACCTGGCCCTCCTCCAGCCTCAGGATCAGGAAGCACTTCTGGAAGTGGTCCATGTCCTCAAACCTGCAACTAGGCAGCTTGCTCACGTCAAACGTGGAGCCCTGGTGATCACAGTACAGCAGAATGCCCTTGTGGGGAGAGAATATGAATCAATGTGGACATTGTCACTGTCACCACTAATAAAATAGATATTGACATTATAAATATAATATAGATATTGACTTTGTAATGGGATTGGTTTATGCTGCTACCTTACTTCAGTGCCTGATGGATGTTATTATGAAAATGTACAGTGAAGGAAAAAAGTATTTGATCCCCTCCTCATTAAAATGCAAATCAATTTATAACATTTTTGACATGCGTTTTTCTGGATTTTTTTGTTGTTATTCTGTCTCTCACTGTTCAAATAAACCTACCATTAAAATGATAGACTGATCATGTCTTTGTCAGTGGGCAAACGTACAAAATCACTTGGGGATCAAATACTTTTTTCCCTCACTGTACCGTATACTGGGATATTTCTAAATATTAAAGGGATGGTTTTTGAATACCGTTGAAACTATTTCTTTAAAGTTTTTTAATACATTTGAATATTTGTAGCTACTTTTAAGTAAATACTGGGAGTCAACTTAGGCGATGAAGCAGATCGCATTCTTCATTTCACCACACTTTTTTCCCTCACTGTAGTTGCGCATTTGCACATGCTGTCATCTAGAGCCTGCAATGGTTTGTAGGATTTCTATACAGACTCGCAGTAGAAGCATAGAATTCTGCAAATAACAAAATCAAAATATCCTGAAGATCAACCATGTTTAATCAGAGGGTTGTTAGGCAAGCCAAGTAACATAAAACATCTGGAACTGTTAGAAATAGATGTTTACAATTGTCACCAGTTTGCTAAAGGTTGGGTAAAAACAGTGTGTCTGCCACTGAGTGTAATATGCCAACTGTGAGATTGCAACTAAATTACAACCTTTAAGACTCCGAACAATGGGGAGGCCAGTCGGACTCAATGGCACACGGTTTCACGCCACGGAAAATCACTCCCAAGTAAGACATTACTTTTTAGCAGAAAGATAGGAACAGAGAGAAAGAGAGAGAGAGAAGAAAAGAGAAGAGAGAAGATAAGAAGAGATGAGATAGAGAGATAGTAGAGAGAGATCAGATATAGAGAAAGATCACTCAACAAAAAGAAATAAAGCCCGAAGAAAGAATCCATCAATCCCTAAAGAATAAGACCGAAATCCCTCAAGCTCAAATCCAGCCCTCCTACCTCACCTCCCTCCACTCGCCCTCCCCCGCCCTCCCGCCATGCCCCCGAGATTGTTGGGAGGCCCCCTCAATCCCTATATAAGGAGAGAATCATTGAGGATACGGCTGGATAAGACAAAGGGAAAGAGGGAGAGGAGTAGATGAGGAGATCAGAGAGGGGGGTAGATAGTGGAGAGTAGGCAGTAGCAGGAAGAAAAAGAGGATTGATTTCCTCTGGGCTTTGGCCTGGCTGATTATGCAGCTCCCCCAGTCCAGGAAGCTAAGGTGATTAACAATACAAATTGTCAATTTAATTCCAGCACCCACAGTAATTGTTGGGATACTGTGTTCCTCTTACTGCCCATTAATCTGCCAGGCTCTCCTTAAAGAGCAATAATTGAAGGAGGAAGTGCAGCTCTAACCGCTCCTCCTGTCCAACCAAGACACTGAGGTCAATCAAGAGACATTAAACACTACTGAGCCAGTACTGCCTGGTCTTGTTTGACCGCGTTTCTCCACTTCATTAGAAGAGACAGCGTTTCCCAGAGGGCATCGGAAGAGGAGGAGAGGAGGTGATGATTGAGTCATTAACTGATTACATCGGAGGGACTGAGTGAGTGACGTGGGGAATGCACTAAGAGTTGTTGTCCTCGTCCCTCTTCCACTGCCCCTTGTCCCTTACACCTCAGCTCCTCTAATTAGCTTCAGGCACCAATCAGCTTGTCATCAGAACTGAGAGAGAAACCCCTGATGTCACCCGTTGAACCCCAGAAACACTCTCTATCTGCATTTACTGTACAGGTAACCGTTCACTTCCCACTAGGATAGGAACAGATAGAAAGCTTCCAACTCCCTCACATACTGGATATATCATCATTCATACTACATACATTCTCACTATCTACATTCCCACATACCGTAGATTATGAAGCCAAAGCAGCTGTGAAATTACTTAAATACTTAATAACGCAATTTTACATAGTCCGCAGACACTGAGACACGATAGTCCGGCGTTCCACGATAGTCCGACCACCATCTGCAGTCCGAATGTGCACCTCCCCACAATTACCAACGAACGTGTCTCCGGTATGCCTCCTCTATTCATTTTAATGTGTTGAAAGTTATAGAAATTGCTTGAACTGTGCTGACAATTTGAAAGGTATTGTAGCTGCTGCAGCCTATTAGAGGATCTGGAGGTGTGGCTTGTTGAAGGCGTGGCCTTGAGTTAGCTCTTTTGGGACAACCGTGACTTAAAGTGTCATGCCAGGTTTATAGTCTGTTAATAAAGATTAAGATTATTTTCTGCCAGTTCTGCAGTCTTAATAAGACTGATGGAAGTGCATGTGAAACCAAAGAACCTACTAGAGTGCCATTGCTAAGATAGCCACCATTTTGTTACATTGGTGTCAGAAGTGGGATAGCTATACACCAAAGCCTTGACAACATGGATGACACTGTGAAGCAGCTGGCAAAGAAGAGGAGGAGCTTGGCACTATGCTCCAGGAGCTGAGCACAGTGGCCCCACACACTCCTCTCACATGGACGTGGGGGAAGGACTATGAGCGGCGCCTGGGAGGAACAGGCAAGTCGGCCATGGATCCTGCACCGGAGGGTTCATACCAGGACAGCCCACTCCAAGCCAGTGGAGGTTCCCTGCTTCGCCATGCCACCTGTAGGACGACAAGGCGCAGGATATCATCTGGAGAGAGATGGGAGTAAGAGGTCAAGGCGTAGGGTAGTTCTGTGTGAGTGAGACCAGTGGACTCAATAGGCTGAGTGAAAGAGTAGAGGATGTCGTCAACCTTTTTTTCAAAGTGGTTGACAAAGTCGTCCGCAGAGAGGGAGGATGGAGGTGGCGGAGGATTAAGGAGGGAGGAGAAGGTGGAAAATAGTTTCCTAGGGTTAAAGGCAGAAGCTTGAAATGTAGAGTGTTAGAAAGTGGCTTTAGCAGCGGATACAGAGGAAGAGAAGGTAGAGAGGAGGGAGTGAAAGGATGATAGTTTAGTTTTCCTCTATTTTCGCACTGTTCTGTTAGCTCGCAATGAGTCACTCAGACATGGCGGAGAAGGGGAGGCCCGAGCCTGCCGAGAAGAAAGGGGACAGTGCGAGTCATAGGATGCGGAAAGGGAGGAGAGTATGGTCGAAGAGACAGAATCAGGAGACAGGATGGAGAAGGATTTAGCAGAAGAGAGAGATGATAGGATAGAGAGGAGAGAGTAGTGGGAGAGAGAGAGTGAAGATTGCGACGGCGCATGACCATCTGGGTAGGGCTGAGTGGTTAGGGTTGGAGGAAAGGGAGACAGAAAAGCAAACAAAGTAGTGATCAGAGACCTGGAGGGGGGTTGCAGTGAGATTAGTAGGCGAGCAGCCTCTAGTAAAGATGAGGTCAAGCATATTGCCTGCCTTGTGAGTTGGAGGGGATTGGGAAAGGGTGTGGTCAAAAGAGGCAAGGAGGGGAAAGAGAATTGGAAAGAAATGAATCGAAGGCAGATATCAGGAGGTTGAAGTCGCCAAGTACGAAGAGCGGTGAGCCATCGTCAGGAAATGAGTTTATCAAGGTGTCAAACTCATTGAGGAACTCTCCAAGGGCACCCCGTGGGCGATAGATGACAATAATGTTAAGCTTGAGTGGACAAGTGACAGTGACAGCATGGAATTCAAATGAGGAGATGGACAGGTGAGAGAGGGAGAACATAGAAAATCTTCACTTGGGAGAAATGAGTAGACCTGTGCCACCACCACGACGACCAGATGCTCTCGGACTATGAGAGAAAACACAGTCAGATGAAGAAAGAGCAGCAGGAGTAGCAGTGTTCTCTGGGGTTATCCATGTCTCTGTCAGGGCAAAAAAGTCAAGGAACTGAAGGGCAGCATAGGCTGAGATGAACTCTGCGTTCTTGACCGCAGATCGGCAGTTCCAAACCCTGCCGGAATTCCATATGTGTTGTGCATGCAGGGTACACTAAATGAGAAGGTTTGCAGCTAAAGGGTGGGGAGCGTCTGTAACGCCTACAGGGAGAAGAAAGGCAGCACTTAAAGTAGATGGCCCTAGCTAGCAAAAAGACAATATTAGACCACAACAGATAAAGACAAAAAAAAAAAACACTTATCACTCCTGGAGATATCAGGCATCCTCTAGCTATAGAATGCCTTCCTCCGGGCCTTGACACCAGAGAGGCTGGCCGCCCCTGCCCCCTGTCTAAGGCCCTGGAAGAAGTTGAAAGAGTGGAAAACATATTGGGCCCAGGGAGTCGGGTTACCCCAAGGACACGGTGGGTAGAAACGGAGGTGGAGATCAAGAGTGACTCAGATGAGGTGGTCTGTCATGCCAAGGTGGAACACCGGCAGTGGACTCCATAATGGTCCACTTTGTGAGGTCAACGCCAGCCTGAGATAATCTTTCTCCTGTGGCCAGAAAGGCCACATCGCTCGCCACTGTGAAGCCCTCAGCCTTTGCCTTCCCCTGAGTCGACTGGAAATGCCAGGGGATGATGAAGTGAGGGGAACATCATCCCAGACACCTGACTCGCTCGTTGAGCCGGAAAATCAATTTGGTCGCTTGGGCCAGACGCAGGGCCTCTACCTTCGATGCAGCATCAGCGGTGAGGCCTGCCATGCGTTGATTGACACTGGTTCCATGATATCCCTTGTTCGGGCAGGTGTTCTTCCAGACACAGTGGGCCCTTCCCCTCTGGGTTGGACCCCTACCTTGGTATGACTTTGCACTGTGACAGGGTAGCTCGCGGACATGAAGTGCCGGAGGTCTTTATCGGTGAGAGTCGGTGAATGTCTCGTTGGAACACGAGTTCTGGTTGGCCGATATCCAAGATGACTGCATCCTAGGGTTGGATTCCCTCAGTCAAGTGGGAGCATGCCTAGATGTTGGAATGCAAAAACTCCAGATGAAAGACTCCGTGATGGGACTTCGGAGCAGTGGAATAAGATACCGGCAGCTGCAGGTGACTCGGCAATAATTGGTGACAGACAGCCCCACAAAGATCCTTCCCCCAGATGAGAAGGAGCAGCTAAAGCCCCCCAAAGATGTGAGTGTTCCCCAGCAGGTGACCAGTGGCACAGTGGACATACCTTTGGAAGCTACCTGGCAAGCTGTGCGTGAACTAGGGCAGATGTGTTCAGAAGGCCTGAGCCTGAGCAGCGGGATATGTTGGAAGCACAGCTTGCAGAGTTTGTGGATGTCTTTGCAGCACGAGACGAAGACTGCCAGAGAGCCAGTCTGGTCCAGCACTCTATCGATACTGGCAACGCAGTACCTATCCGTTTGTGGCCCCATCGCTTGCCGGTGGCAAAGAGAGAGATAGCAGAGCAGAAGATCTGGGAGATGGCAGAGACACGGTTCATCGAGCCATCCAACAGCCCTTGGGAGGCCCCCGTAGTCCTTGTCAAGAAGAAGGACTGCTCATAGCACTTCTGTGCAGACTACAGGCAGCTGAACTATGTGAACAGGAAGACTTCCTATTCCATCCCGCGAATAGATGATGCACTGGACTACATCACAGGGTCATGATGGTTCAGTTCCCTTGACCTCCGCAGCGGTTATGGCAAGTGGAGCTTGCCCCCTGAAGCCAGGCCAAGGTGGCAGGTCACCTGATGCCTTTCGGGCTCTGCAACGCTCCGCCAACCTTCGAGTGTCTTATGGAGCAAGTGTTGGACACGATCCCCCGCAAGAAGTGTGTGGTCTACCTGGACGACTTCCTTGTGCATGCAATATACTTGCATGGATATCTGGCAAATCTTTGTGAGGTTCTACTTGCCATCCGGTAGGCAGGACTCAAGTTCCTTCCCAAGAGGTGTCACCTACTGCAGCGGGAGGTCAAGTTCCTAGGCCATTTCGTCGGGGCAGATGGAGTTGTAACTGATCCAGCCAAGGTGGTAGCGGTTCAGCACTGGGTGACCTCCAATGACCTCTCTGAGTTGAGAAGTTTCGTTGGCCTAGGTTCTTACTACTGGAGGTTCATCAAGGACTTTGCAACAGTAGCCAGCCCTCTATGCCGCCTTACAAACAAGGACCAGCGGTTCGACTGGGATGATGACTGCACGGTAGCATTCGCTGAACTGCATCAGTCCCTAATCAAGGCTCCAGTCCTGGCATACCCCAACCCCCAGCACCCATTCATTGTGGACACAGATGCCAGCAATGTGGGCATTGGGGCCGTTCTTTCGCAGGAGGGGCCGGATGGGGAATGGGTGGTGGCCTTCTACTGTCAGAGCCTCAACCGTGACGAGCGCAACTACTGTGTCACCCCGGGAGAGTTGTTGGCTGTGATCGATGCGCTCCATCATTTTCAACTCTACTTTTATGGGACCCAGTTCCTTCTCCGTACTGACCATGTCTCACTCACCTGGC